AATCTCTTAATTAATTTGGCAAAACGCTAATTTTATTCAAACACTTAAGAAACATTCTGACCCAACATATAGTCAAACTTCATGATTGTATGATCTTTATAACAAGGTACTTCTTGTTTATACTCTATTATTAGTTCATGTACTTCTACTAACAAAGGATAAATATCTCTATGAAATAACTAACGGAGTCACTAAAATTACTGATATTTTTTATCATTGTATAAACTACTAAATTTCTCTATCTCTAAGATATATTGGTGTCTGCCCCATTGATGCATCGCCCCACGAGGTGAGAATGAATTTTATCTCCAAATAAAAGCTGACTTTCCAAAATCTTGGTTACATGTACTTCTCTCGAGGTGCTAAATTATTTTTTGAAATCATCATACATTACCTGAAAGTACCTTTAAAGTAATTGCACATATGTTCAAACACAATACACCAATGAGATTATAAATATTTTTATAAAAAGTGACAACTTAATTCTAACATTCAAAACTGTTTTGATACTCCTACATTTCATTTTCAGTGTTATTTATCTAGAATATAGACGAACAATATAATCTATTTTTTGCAATGATAAAACAAAACAATGAGAAAATATTGAGAAGCATATCATTTGTTAAAATATTTGACAACAGAAGAATTAGAATTCCATTATATGACGATACTTTTAGTCATTTGTAAAGTTTATTATTATGGAGTCATGATTAAAATACATCATCTATACAAATTTTTAGATTTTTTAATTATTTAAAATTGAAAAAATAATATATGATCATATTTATGAGACCCAATTTCTTACAGAGTCCATATATTTAAACGCTAGCAACAAAAAAGTATTAATTTTAAAAGACTTTTTATTTGTAAATATTGGTATTCATACTTTTCTAAGAAAATTAGCATGTTTTCTTTTTCTCATTGCATTACTATTATATTATTTGTTTCTTATTCTATAGACAAATAATATTTTATTTGCTAAGTAACTAAAGCACATTTATACGTATTATGTTATTTTTTGTATGTGTTTTATATAATGATGGTATCAAATTATCTTATTTATTAGGCTACAATTAATATAATCACATAAGATTAAATGTAATTTAATATATTTGATAAAATTGTACTTTTTATACAAATTATTAGATTAAAAAGTTTTAGAATTTTTTCCAATGTTTGATAAAATATTAATTAACTAAGTCATTTCCACAATCACTGAATACATGGTACCACCATTATATGGTTCATTTTGCAGCAGTGATTGACTTCACATATCTAATGTTATTTCATTTCCTTTCTCTGGCCTAGCCTTTCCTTTTATCTGTGACTTCACATTGCTTTGCTTCGTTTGTACCCTAAGGTGCATTTGCCATAGTTTCAGCATTGCTACAAACTCGTGTCAAACATATATTGGATTTGGGCGCTC